GTTTATTCTCTCTAATCCAGGATAACTTTGTGTGAAGCCTAAATACTGACTCACACACCCATAATAACACCCTATAGACCCGCAGTTCACACATGAACACACTCACTCACTGCACACACACCAAATGCAGTTCTGTGCATGAGTCACTGTACTACTGACTCATGCACACACCAGTCTTCTATGAGGTTTCCATTTATTTTTGCTTTTGTTGACCCTGTCCCTGTTTCCAGAACTAAGCAGTTCATAAAACTATATGCAGTGTAACCCAGCAGTCCTGCAGTGAAACCTCCCTGCATGAAGTTCAATGCCTGTTGGGTCCATATGTTGAAAACAACACAACCTGACAAAACAGTTAGAACTGACAAAAACGGAGTTAAGACTGCTCTGTGGACACAAATTAAAACAAATATAATACACAAAAGATGCGTTAAAATTGCATGTCTTGTAAGATAGCATGCATTTTCATTTATTTTGTCTCATGTGCGGCAGATGCTGCGGAGATATTAGTTATGAATTTAATACATCCAGCTAGTGTCTGAAATGTATCAACTGCTGTTTGCACTTATCCCTTAGTGCAGGGGTGTCCAAACTTTTTTGAATGGGGGGCAGGTTTGATCATTTTAAAATACCTGAGAGCCATACTGAGTGAAAGCCGCTGCAGGGAGGCTAGGTTAGATTCAAGATGTTTCACTTTGTCCACCTGTTCACTGCATGACAGTCACTGGTATTAATAATGCTTAGTCTCATAATGTCTGTTCACATTTAACTTTTTCATAACAGTGACAGTTTCTTGGTAAATGAGACAACAACAGTTTTGGTTTTCAGTGAAAAGTTATTTAACTTTCCACCACATCTGAAACATGCTTCTTTGCTGTGGTCATGACTACAACCTAGCAGCAAATGTCTATTGCCTGTTTACAGTCTATTTATGAAAACATTAGTTCCACCTGCATTGTAGAGATGTTAATGAACTGTAGTGCTGTCATCATGAGGTGTACAGTAAAAATGCAAAGTGAACTCGCTTTATTAATCAATACGTGTGTGTAAAGTGTATTTTGAAAGACAAACCGCAGGGCATTTGGCCTGTGGGCTGGACTTTGAACATGCCTGTCCTAGCGAGTCTCTACAAGTGCACAATCCGAACACAGCTAAGGTCTTTAAGACTAGCTTGTGGCTCCTAGAGGCTGCAGTTTAAATATAACAGCACAACACCACCCTGGTTTTGACTTTTCTTAGAGGATTCATCCTCTAGGAACGATGAATATCTACCTGAGCTTCTGTTCCAGTATTTTGGTGACACTGTCCTCAACTCTCTTTGGATAGACAGTACTGCTGTGACTGCAGTTTCAACATGTGGAGAAATCCAAAGACTCACACCTGCTGTGCCTAGTTATGATCGTTAAGCTGTGACTAGAGCTGTTTAGGCAATGGGTTACAGTCAAATAAACTTAGAGCCAATCTGTTTCTGAGTGATGCCAACAACTGAATGGTCTGCAGGCTTGAACTGGACAGCAGGCAGCCAGAGGCCCTATGCAACCTACACTGAGATAATAATTCACCAACATAAAGGGACATTTTAAGGACATGTAAGGTATCACAAGTGTCTTAAAACTGATCCAGGATTTGCAGCCACAGCCGGGACATTCTGCAGTAACATGGGTCTCACTGCTGTGTTTGGATACGAGGATTTAGCAATCAGCCAAACTAGACACTGGACCATCACGCCTCAACAGAATTGAGTTTTGATGAGATTCATATTTTAAAGAGGCTGCAGGTCAGAGGATGGGACAGCAGTGGACTGAGGGAGTTAAAGAGTAAAAATAGCATCATATTGAAGCTGTTCCTGTTTAATCCCACTACAGATCAAATGAATCATCACAATACACTGCTGTCCAAATCCTAATGGTGCTCACTGTGTGTGTGTCAGTCCAACCATCAGTGATGAAACATGTTGTGTGCCACCACATCATTCATATCTGTCACTTACTGTCACTCACCAAGAAGGGATTACTTGTTATTATTAAAGGAGCTATTTGTAAGTTTTGCTATTGCTAAATATCTAGCATATCCGCATTAACAGTAGTATATTAATTAGCTAAACTGGCTTATGTTAACGACTTATGTTGTTGTTCTTATTAAAGGGGCTATTTGTAAGGGATCTTTAAGTCTTATCCTCAGTCTTTTATTTCATCACTATTACACTGCACTGAATTAGCATCAATGTATGCAGTCATAAAATGCATAGTTAAAACCTTTGTGCAGGTTTTTATTTTAAGCCAGAAAAATTAAAAAGTCAACTAACAATACTAACAAAAACAGTCACTGCCTTACAATGAAAAATCTGCTTCTGTCTGAAACTGACGACCAATTATTTCAAAAATTACTCTGAATTTAAAATGGTAAATGTGTAAACTGCTCCTGTTCTGTGCTGTGCTGTGCTGTGCTGTGCTGTGCTGTGCTGTGCTAAGCTTGACAGGCATAGCAGTAGTAACTAAGGAAGTGGCATATCCCAGACATAATGGACAAAAACACAAAAATAGGATGAAAGAATTAGGTGCAGAGAGAGAATGAGAGCAAGAAATGGGGGTTTGGTGACCATAGATAGTCCGGATGGATGGCAGAGAAATAGAGATGGACAGAAACACAGAGTTTCCATAGATAGCCCACAGATACAGTAGGTGAGAGAGAGGGAGAGAAAAGAGGGATGAGGGGGAGCAGATGTGGGCTTTAGTTCTGACTCTCTACTTCATTTTGGGATTCCATCCTGACCACAGCAGGCCTTTTATGACCGTTTAACCAGACCGGTCCGACCAATCAGCTGAAGGAGAGGTGGTCACATGGTGTTGTGACCTTCACAGAAAGGTTATAAAGTGAGGTGATGCTCTGTTAACTCACTTATTCTGTTCTTCTGCACATCCTCACCAACTACGCTGTGACAAAGACACTAAAACCACCAAGAGATTCAGACCAGACCAGACCAGACCAACCCGGCAGAGTGAGTACACAACCCTGATGATGCAGTTTTTTTGTGAATTTCATATCATGTCTAAGGTTTACAACATTTACATCATCAAAATTAAATTTTGGCTGCAACTTTCAAACTCAAGTATGACTCTAAAGACTACAGTACCCATGAGTCTACTGTGGAGGAAACTCCATCCAGTAACATTGTTAAATGCACATTTGTTACAAAGGCATTAATAACTGATCTTGTGGCCCTGACTTGTACAGGGGCCACATGTCAAAATATAATTTAAAGTGCCTGAAAACTTGTTTTTATGATTATAAAGCAGGTCTAGGTTCTATATTAATACTGTGTATCAAAGTGCTAAATCCTCAGAGAAATGCACACACCCTGTATTCAGAAATAGAGGCTTAAAACGAGCCGTCAGGACTTATGCAACTTTGTGATGTCACAATAAAAGCAGTCACCGCCCTCAGTCCCTGCCCACCTGGGCCCACCATCCAACCTTGCAGGATTTGGTTGTACTAAGTGTTTACCTGAAATCTGCTATATTTTTATTGGATCACTCAGAAAACAATCAGCCAACGAGAAGAGAGAGGCTCAGAGCCTCCTCTCTTCTGATGATCAGTAATGAAGATGTCATGTAAAGTCTGCTGTACTTGATGGAAACACGGTGCTAACATGGTCACCATGGATGGAGAGTAAGAGGTGGATGGATGGGCCCAGGACCCATTAATAATTAATAGGTTAACCTGGCTATAAAAATTGCTTTTCATTTTTTTTTTACTGAATTATAATTTTCAGGGTTGTGGATTTTGTTTGTCCTGATTATGAAAAGTAAGGATAAAGGCCATCATCCTTTCTCCAATACCAAGTTAAGGCATGATCACACTCACAAAGAGCAACATCTGCTGTCTAACAACATGATCAGATGGTTATATTTACTGTTAGCATTTGTCCAGGCAGTTTCTATGTCGGTGCAACAACGTCTCAACTCAGGAATGGAAAGAAAATAATACAGGGGGAGACACATGGATCCTGTTGAGCTGATGTGGCAGCTGTTAACTCTGTCAGAAATCCTGAGTAATGTGTTGAGGTCGGCCAAACATTGTAAAAATGGCTGCCATGCCAATTTGTTGACATCATCATGTAGTTTAGGTCTGTGTTTAGGTTTTACAGCTAAATAAAGAAGGTGAATGATTGTTGGACAGTGAGATACTGGGGAAATGTGTTTTATATCAGTAATGATCTGGTGATATTTTATATTTTTGTTATTGTAAACAAACAAACAAACAAATCCCATGTGTGGACTCAAACCAACACTGAGTGTATCTAATAACAAGTACTGTGTGTCTGAGCCATGAAGCTCTACTGTTATCATTGTTACTATAAAGAGGAGGCTTATGGTGTTGTCAGTAGTCACTGTACTCCTTAGGGAAAGCACTTGATCACCAAGCATGTAAAAAACTTTAATCCAGACTCAAATTTGAAGGCAACGTGACCATAAAGATCCAGACTGAGCTCTGGTTGAATCTGTTGTTCTCCAGGATAGATTCAAGATCGATCAAGGCTGGTACTCAAGCTTGTTCTCTTCAGGGGTTTTCCATTGAGGTTGTTTGTAAAGATTGCTCTTAAAAAAAATTTGATTGTTCTTCAGATCTGTATTTCAGAGGTTTCTTCTCTCATGTTTTTCTAAACATTTGTTCTTCAAGTGCTTTTCAAATTAGTTCAATGGTCTTTGAAATCACACTTTGTTGCTTTGTTCTTCAAACATGTTCTTTGAATCTCATGGGTCTTTTCTAAGATTGATCCTCAAGATAGTTTATTAAGGTATATAATATGGTTCTTCAAGGCCAGGCTTCTCTTCAAGAGTGATAGAAACTATTCCAAACAACAAGGTCACTTCTGAGGTAGGGGTATACGTAGTGGTCGTCTTCGCACAAAATGCCACAGACATTAAAGAAACTATGATCTTGAACTCAGACTGCTACAGAATGCACATTTAGAGAACCTGTGTATCCGTGTTCTTGTTCAGATGTCTCGGTTCCTGGATATGGCAGAGTTTGGAGAAGCTGGTTCTTACCTTCGTCTCACCAATCTGGAGCAGCTGGCAGCAAAGGCCCAGGCTTTTGATGGTACATACACACATTTAAATATGTACACACACTATTTTAATTATTTGTGTTTTTTAAATTAACATGAGAACTATGAGCTTATATGTGTTTGTATAGGTGTACAAATATATTGAATAGAAATGTGTGTAATTCATTCGTTTCAGGTACGAAGCGTGTCTGGATGCCTGATGATGTTGAAGCGTACACTGAAGTGGAGATCAGAGAACTGAATGGAGACAAGACCACTGTGGAGACCAAGGACGGACGGGTGGGTTAGTTAGTCAGTCAGTCAGTTAATTTGTCATTTAATTACTCATTTAGACTTGTTTTGTCAATTAATATGTCACGCACCTCTTCACTTAACAGAAGTAACTACGTTAGGTTTCATTTGGTATGTAACAAAACATTGACTTTAAAGATCATGATGTCAGTGTATTGATCAAATGTAGGTCTAGTAGGTCTAGTTCACTCAGGTGTTGGGACATAGTAAATTCAATCCTCATGTGAGTGTCCATTCAGTGCAAGACCTGGAAGCATTCACTGTTTTGCCTTTCAAAGTAAAAGACATGTAAAAAGGCAATACTAGCTGAGTCAAAATCCTCAGATGTCTTCTTTTTGTAAAAAGTTAGACTTGTCATTTATACTACAACCTGTTAACACTGGCTTTTCTCCATCATTTTGAGAAAACACGAGCAAAAGCAGCAGCAGTTATGCAGGATGTAATGAATTATGTAATGAATTTATAATAAGCGAACAGAGCAACGGAAATCGCCCCAACTTCTGCGACGTAATGTTCTTTTTCTTCTTTTGAGGTTTGTTGTTTGTTCGCAAACCACTACTCAATGTTTGGTTCCCAAACCTGTCGAAATGCAGGCCGGTTCTCCAAAGACACCCAGGCAGAAGTGGCTCTGCACCAGCACTGACCTAAAGCTCTGAGAGGCTCAACCTCAATGTTGTATATGTGTGTGTTTCAGTTTCTGATCGTAAAAGAAGATGACCTCCAGCCCATGAACCCTCCTAAGTTTGACATGCTAGAGGACATGGCCATGTTGACTCATCTAAACGAGGCTTCAGTCCTCTTCAACCTGAGGAGGAGATACAGCATGTGGATGATCTATGTTAGTATCTATAAGTTGATCGTTCACACATTTCAATAAAAAAACTTCCAAATCTTTGCACATTGGAAACTGTTATTATCAAACTTTCATTTCTAACTCTGTGTCTGTGTCAGACCTACTCGGGTCTGTTCTGTGTCACAGTTAACCCGTACAAGTGGCTGCCAGTATACTCTGCTAAGGTAGTAACAGCCTACAAAGGGAGGCGTCGTGCAGACACCCCGCCCCACATCTACGCCATCGCTGACAACGCCTACTCTGACCTGCTGCAGAGTGAGTCCCTTTTAACCTCTGACCTCGTACATCAGCCACATACTGACCTCAACCTAATGACCATATTGTTAGAATTATCCCACATGCTGTCAGATGTTTACTTCTTCTGCTGCTGTTCTTTCATGTGGCTTCATTTCCCTCCACAGATCGAGAGAACCAGTCAATGCTCATCACGTAAGTCAGAGCCACAGCTGTTGTAACATCAAAGACTGTAAATTCTGCAATTTAGCCAAAAAATGTAACATCGTACTTCAACGACACTAGATCCCAGACCTCCACATGTGATGTTATGAAATAATCATAGTTATTCACGTCATCTGTGTGCTTTGGTTTCTTTATGTGTCAACAGGGATGATGGATGCAGGTGCTGTGATTTATTTTGATTTGATGATAGGTGTGTTAAAGGTCCCATATAGTACAAACGTAGATGTTTCATTCCACATGTCTCATTCCACAGAGAAATGCACACAGCCTGTATTCAGAAACTGAGCCTTAAAATGACCCAACAGGACTTCTGGAACTTTGTGATGTCACAACAAAGCAGTCACCGCTCTCATGCCCCAAGCCCCACCCACCTGGACCCAACATCCAACCTTGCATCTTGAAATCTGCTATATCACTCAGAAAACCAATCAGGAGGGAGGATCAGAGCCTCCTCTCTTCTGATTGGCTAACTGACCGTTTGTTACTAGAGCTCCAGAGAGAAGCCTGAGAGAGGAGATGTAAAGCTACATTGAGATGATTTTTGGTTATTAAAACCACAAAGAAATCTTCTTATAGATCAACACTTCAAATAAAACACAGGAGAAGAGGAAAATGTGGGACCTTAAAAAAATAAAAGTTTGATAACTTCTAACTTCTAACAGTACCTGGGTGAATTCTGGTCTCTTGTCTGTCAGTGGTGAGTCAGGTGCAGGGAAAACCGTCAACACCAAGAGGGTGATTCAGTACTTCGCCATCGTCGCTGCACTGGGAGAAAATGTGAAGAAAGGAGTAAGTCTTCTTCTCCACTTTTATTTATTAGCATCTTGTTGCTGCAGTGTGATAACAAATGTTACTGTATGTTAGAAGACAGTGACACAATAACCTCCTTTCCTCTGTGTGTGTGTGTTCAGGGGTCTTTAGAGGACCAGATCATTGAGGCTAATCCGGCCATGGAGGCCTTCGGCAACGCTAAAACCATCCGCAATGACAACTCCTCTCGCTTTGTGAGTTTAATAAAGTCTTGCTGTAATCATTCCTCCTGAAATCCACATTTCTTAGCAAAAATCTGTTCACCTGAAGTTTATTGGAGGCGAAAAAAACTGTAACCTGTTGTTTAAGTTTGCATAGTATTGTGTTATAATGAGTGTGGGTCTGTGTTTGTGCGTCTCAGGGAAAGTTCATCAGAATTCACTTTGGGCCGACAGGGAAGCTGGCATCTGCTGACATCGACATCTGTGAGTGTGTTTGTGTCAATAAACTACAACAGCTCTAATGACAGCTAATAACTCAACAGCTAATAATGACATTTTTTGTGATAAAGCAGCAAATCTCAAATTACATTTGTATTTTAAAAATAGATGGGTCATGTAAGTGGCCACTCATTCATTCATTCATTCATTCATACAGGACAACAGACTGTTGTGTTGGTGAAGTTGTAGAGTTGTGTGTATTTATATGTGTCTTTTATCAGATCTTCTAGAGAAGTCCAGAGTTGTGTTCCAGCAGCCAGGAGAGAGAAGCTATCACATCTACTACCAGATCCTGTCCAGTCACAAGCCAGAACTGCAGGGTAACCCCACCTATAACTGATGTTATTACTGTTTATATTAATACTGATGTTATTATTATATAAACACTCACACACAACTACAAATGAATTCTAATCTTAGTTGGAATCATATTACTTAAAATTATAATTCAGATGTTAAAACTACAGTTTCTTCTCTCGTTAACATTTTAACATTTTTTGCAACTGGGATTATTGATTATAGCTACTCTGAAGGTTAACCAGGATGATTAAGAAATATTATTTAATGCTGTTGTTTCTGTGGTTGTCTGTGTTGCAGACATGTTGTTGGTGACCACCAACCCCTACGACTACCACTTCTGCTCTCAGGGTGTGACCAAAGTGGAGAGCATCAATGACGGAGAAGAGCTGAAGCTCACTGACGTAAGAAACACACTCATCCCTGAAAGACACATGGTGTTCTGATGTCATACAATTTCTAATCTGTGTGTGTGTGTGCTTGTGTAGCACGCCATGGACACGCTGGGCTTCACGCCAGAGGAGAAGTATGGCTGCTATAAGATTGTTGGGGCCATCATGCACTTTGGAAATATGAGGTTCAAGAAGAAACAGAGAGAGGAGCAAGCTGAGGCCGACGGCACTGAGAGTAAGACACACCTTTAGTTATAACATGTAATCTACTCAAATAAAATGTCATCTATTATAACTTTTAAGATAGCCACAACCACAACACATGACTCATTAACAACTGCTTCAACTTGAGTTTACAATGATGCCAGTAATGATCCATTGCTGTGTGGATAAGAAATTCCCAAACAGAGAAACACATCTGTCCGAAATTGATACCTCTTTTCTTATCAGCTTCCTCACACACTTATATATGATTCTGCATACACACATACACACATGCATACAAGTATACAAATTTGTTTTTATCTGTCCTGTTATTTTTGTCCTGACTCTGTTTTATCAACTTATTTGTTTGGTTGTTTTATCAAGCATTAAAAAGCCTAATCAGGGTCAGCAGCTGCAAATTAGATTCAGCTTGATGCCCTATACATCTGTCGCATTGCGTATCTGTATGTAACAATGTTTATCTGTATGGTCTGTAAATAAATCTTAAAAGCGGTAAAGGCTGCCCATGATAGAGACATGGTTCTCATGTTATTGGGCGGGAATACAACATTATACAGAGATGCTTTACTTCCAAAACCTGTTCAATAGACCAGAGTTTTCAAAACCTGCTGGTATATTAACACAGCAACAACTGGGAGGAAAGTGAGGAAACAGTTCTATCGGGGACATACATATATAACAGCATCATCTGCATAGATCTTAAAGAAAACAGCTCCATGACTTGATTCTTTTTCATCAATCAAATATAAACAAAAGTGGAAAATACATTAAAATACCTTTCATTTCTTTACCTATACTATAACTAAAGTTTTATCTCACTTTTCTGTTTTAAATATCATCAAATTAAGTTCCTATACCTTAGAATTCCTACTGCAAACAACCTCTACATCACCCATTACAACTGTTGAATGTTGGATACGATATGGTGTAACATATTATATTGTGTATGTGTATGAAATGTTTTGTGTGTGTTTAGGTGTTGATAAGGCAGCCTATCTGATGGGTATTAGCTCTGCTGACTTGCTGAAAGGCCTCCTGAATCCCCGCGTCAAAGTTGGACATGAGTTAATTGTGAAAGGACAGACAGTAGAACAGGTAACCAATTAATTCATCAATCAAGCAACAATTTTTTTTTCTGTATTCAAGCATATTAACTGTCAAAACTGTCAATGAACCTAAAACTGGCCATTTTATGTGTGTGTGTAGGTTAACTATGCAGTAGCAGCCCTGGCCAAAGCCACCTACGACCGTATGTTTAAGTGGTTGGTGAGTCGTATCAACTTGTCTTTATACACGGCTCTGCCTCGTCAGTACTTCATCGGAGTCCTCGACATCGCTGGCTTTGAGATCTTTGAGGTAAAAAGGAGAGAAGGTCAGAGACATCTGGTCAAGATCCAGACATTTCCTAACATACCAAATATCAAAAGATGTAGAATAATTTACCAAACACCTCACTGTCTCATACACATGTAGCTTGTTTATCGGACATGTGTAGAAAGAGTTAACCATGAACTCATAGTGGGGCTGACTACAGGACTGATGTCTGACAGCTTGTTTGCCACCAACCACAACATGTAAATCAGACAGACTTCGTGCAGCTAGGCCAGATGTTGCAAGTTGGAACCAGTGTGATCTTGGCTGCGGCTCTGTCTATGATACACAACTATGAAACTGTTTCTGTCTTTCTGCAGTTCAATAACTTTGAGCAGCTGTGTATCAACTTCACCAACGAGAAGCTGCAGCAGTATTTCAACCACCACATGTTCATCCTGGAGCAGGAGGAGTACAAGACAGAGGGGATAGAGTGGACCTTCATAGACTTCGGTTTGGACTTACAGGCCTGCATAGACCTCATAGAGAAGGTGTGTTTGTGTGGAGTCTGCTCACACAGGAATACTATGGGATGATTAATCGGCTGTCTCACTGTTCTCCAGGATGAAAAATTGTATTTGATATAAAAATACAACAAGATAATCATGTGTAATCATGATTCTGTGTGCAGCCAATGGGTATTCTGTCCATCATGGAAGAGGAGTGTATGTTCCCCAAGGCCACGGACCACAGCTTTAAAACCAAACTCTACGACAACCATCTGGGGAAGTCGCTGAACTTCCAGAGGCCAAGGCCAGACAAGAAGCGTAAATACGAGACTCACTTTGAAGTGGTTCACTATGCTGGAGTGGTGGGTATTAGCTCGTATCATTCCTTTGCTGGTCCTGCTCATGTTTGAGTTTCTTTGCGCAGTCAGGCACCAACTAAAATTGACCAATATTTATTACAGATGAATTGATTTCCACAAATTTTCTTGCTGAGACGTAAGTCATTTAATATTTGGTGTATTTTTATGGTCATATTTTTGGGCTGTTTTTTTGGTTTGTAAAATTTAGAAAAGTTTGTGGTTCTTGCTTTAGGCAACAAAAACAATTATTTCTGATTTATCTTTGTTTGAATGAAGAAACCTTGGTACATGTAAATCTGTGTGTCGTCTGCATAAATATGATAAGATATTATGTTGTTTCCATAATCCTAGCCGGTAGATCCTAAAGGGGGACTCCATGAGATTGGCGCTCACTAACACAAAAGAGACTACAGGATAGGACAGCAGGACTGAAAAAAAAACTTTTCTCTGTGCAGAGTTAAATCTATAGAACCTCTTGGAGAACAAGGAATTAAAAAAAAAAATTTTCATCGCAGGTGCCATACAACATCACAGGCTGGCTGGATAAGAACAGAGATCCTCTGAATGAGACGGTTGTGGCCCTGTTCCAGAAATCCTCCAACAAACTGATGGCTGGACTTTTTGAGAACTACATCAGCTCTGAGATGGGTAACTAGACAAAGAGACAGTATTCAGTAGTTTCATATAGTGTCACAAATAAATAGAATCTAGAGGCTCCAAATTGGAATAAACCTGCGTACCTTAAATGAAAAACACATAAGAAAGAAGTACAAGTGAGTGTGGTGACTCCGTGTATGCTATGTAAACAAGGGTTGTTTGTGCTGCTGTTTCAGCCAGTGATCCGAAGGCTGAAACCAAACACAGGAAAAGGAAAGCAGCGTCCTTCCAGACAGTTTCACAGCTACACAAGGTGAGTTGGACCTTTCCTACCTGTGATTCAGGATCAAAATAAAGTGATTAAGAAGGAGATTGAAAAACAAAAAACAAATACTTTTTCTGTATACTTACTACTGAGTACAACAAGCTTGGGTCATGGTTCTTGCTGCCATCTCTTTCACTTAGAGAAAGCAGCAAAAACCTCGACTTGACTGTGATTGGCTGAGGCTCTTGACACGCCAAACAGACATCTCCAACTCTTTGTCTTGTTTGAATACAGGAGAATCTAAACAAGCTGATGGCTAACCTCCGCAGCACTCAGCCTCATTTTGTCCGCTGCATCATCCCTAATGAGACAAAGAATCCAGGTAACCCAGCTACAGCAGGACTAAACATCTGTAGCCTCACTAGCAGCCCTGCATGTATTTAATGTTCATCATACACCAGGAAACTAAATGAAAACTGGAGTGACAACTTTCCATATTGTAGATTCTTCCCCCTTTCCTTGCCTGTTGATTGTTTTGTCAATAAAATGTAAGAAAAGAGTTTTTAAAAAACTGTTGAAGATGTTTCAAGTGCCCCTGTCTGATTTCCAGGTGTGATGGATAACTTTCTGGTCCTACACCAGTTGAGGTGTAACGGAGTCCTCGAGGGTATCAGGATTTGCAGGAAGGGCTTTCCAAACCGTATCCTGTACGCTGAGTTCAAACAGCGGTGAGTCCGAAACCTAAGCACACACAGAAACACTACTTCATTTTTTAGTTGATGTACTGATCCAGGCTTTAATGCCTCAGGTGGAGCCTGAGCAGCAGCCACAGTCCTGGTTTTATAACCTGCTACTCTTCAGTGATCCATGTGAACTTGTTTCTGTTTTCTCAGTTATCGTATCTTGAATCCTTCTGCGATTCCGGAGGATTCGTTTGTGGACAGCAGGAAGGCTGTAGAGAAGCTGCTGGGCTCTCTGGACATAGACCACACCCAGTACAAGTTCGGACACACAAAGGTACAACACACATACTGCAGTTCCTACAGCTTACTTCTGCTCCCAGAGTTAAGATGGTGATTAAACATGATCTTCTTCATCTCCACTTCATCCTACTCAGGTGTTTTTTAAGGCGGGTCTGTTGGGTCAACTGGAGGACATGAGGGACTCCCGTCTGTCTCAGATCCTCACCACTGTCCAGGCCATGTGCAGAGGGAAGCTGATGAGGATGGAACGACAGAAGATGATGCTGCGAAGGTTAATATAATGAATAAAGGATAGGATGAATAAAGGATAATGTAAAAAATAACACTAAAAGAGTTTTGCATCCAGTTTATCTACTTAATTGTGTCTTTCATGAGAGTTATTGTAATTCGCTAAAAATACTGATGTGGTCTTTAATTCTTCTCATCAGAGATGCTGTGATGGTAATCCAGTTCAACCTCAGAGCGTTCTTCTCTGTGAGGACTTGGCCATGGATGATGTTGTTCTATAAGCTCCGCCCCCTGCTCAGGAGTGCCCAGGTGGAGAAAGAACTGGCTGCTCTGAAAGAAGATTTCGCCAAACTGAAAGAGGCCTTCGACAGGTCTGTCACCTGCCTGTCAGTGGTGGACTGGCTGTTTGTATCTTCTTTGCAGTTTTTAGACATTTTCGATGTTATTGTAAGTAGAAAATAAAATAACAGCAGTCTCCATGACAGAAGATGTCTCTGTTTTCTACTCCATGGTTTTTTTATCTGTCTTTTTGGTTTGTTGTGTTTTTCTCCATCAGATCAGAGGTGAAACGTCGGGAGGCAGAGGAGAAGCAGGTGGTTTTGGTTCAGGAGAAAAACGACCTGGCTCTGCAGCTCCAAGCTGTAAGTCACTTACCCGAACATGCATGTTTGGAAATCCTCTTTATCCTTGTTCCACCTGGTATTAACATGTGTCCTACATCTGGATTTTTTTCTCATTCAGGAAAAACATGTTAGTTTACATGTAAATGCAGAGAGAAGACATTGCTATTGGTGACATTGGATGGTGTCCTCACCTCTTAAGTAAAAAAGAAATAATAATCAGTCTTGCAGTCATTACTAATGAATCATTAGCATCCCCTGGAAAACTCCAAAAATACAGCCCCTAGGCTGTTTGTTTGTTGCTCTGCAGTGTAAACCTTGTATCTCCAGGATAAATCTTTTTTTTATTGGTTAAGAAAATTCTCCCATTTTTTCACTTAAATGAACCTTTTAAAACTCAACCCCAAAAACCGAAAGTTTATGTTTTTTGCATCCTAATCATCTAGGAGCAGGACAACTTGGCAGACGCAGAGGACCGCTGCAATCAGCTGATTCAATCCAAAATCTCTCTGGAGTCGAAGCTGAAGGAGATGCAGGAGCGTCTGGAGGACGAGGAGGAGGTGAGCGCCACACTGACGTCCAAGAAACGGCAGCTGGAGGAAGAGGTGATGTCGCTGAAGAGAGACGTGGACGATCTGGAGATGACGCTGGCTAAAGTGGAGAAAGAGAGGCATGGAGTGGAGAACAAGGTGCGTCAGGTTGAAGAGCCTCATTCTGGTGATGGTGAGAACAGATTAGTTTAAATAAGTTTTTCTTTCTGTCCAGGTGAAGAACCTGTCTCAGGAGATGATTGTTCTGGATGAATCCATAGCGTCTCTGAGCAGGGAGAAAGCCGCGCTGCAGGAAGCTCACCAGCAGGCCCTGAATGACCTTCAGGCTCAGGAGGACAAAGTCAACATGCTGGCCAAGGCGAAAGCTCGACTCGAGCAGCAAGTGGACAGCGTAAGAAAAGATCTAAGTATCTAAGTTGAGCTGTATCGACAAACAGAAAGTGTACCTACATTAAAATGATTCAGCTGCTTGTGCACATGATGGACTGGAACAATTTTAGAGAATGATTTGTTTTGTGTGATTTACATTTGTCTTGTAAGTCTACTAACATGTCTGTCTTTCTAAAAGATCTACTGTCGCCATGGAGACTAATAATAGATGCTGGATTCAGTTTGACTGGTTACAGATGGGTGAACTACAGTACATGAAAAACCAACCTGTCCTGACTGTTGATATTCCCTCATTTGTTTTGATGATGGTGATGGATAGCAATCTCTAATGCACTCTTCCAAAATCTTTCCCTAAAATCTCCTGAGAACCCACTAGAATTTCCTACAGCACCACCTTTAGAACCACCTACGGAACCTGTAGAATTTCCTCACTGGCCAAAAGAACCACCTCAAGGCCCCTAGAACCTTCTCATTAACCACAAGAACTAAGTAAACAACTTCTAGAACCTCCTCAAAGACCAAATAAACCATCTAAAGGGCATCCAGAACCTCTTTAATTACTGCTGAAAGCCCTCTAGTTACTGTTAGAAACCACAGGTAAGATCCCCAGAACCAGGAAAACAAGAATCATCTACAGGGCCTCTAGAACCTCCTTAACATTCATTAAATAATGTTCAGATGGGTTACAAATTGAAGTAAGATACCATCTTAAATGTCTTATAAGGTTTTGGTACGCCACCAGAACAACTTTGGTGCTCCTTGGCGCAGGTTGTCCAAATTTTACAATCTAAAACTTTGTTCTATGAGTTTGTCTGTGGTTTCTCACACCTTCTCATCTATCCGTCCATGCAGGTGGAAATTTCCTTGGAGCAGGAGAAGAGGGTCCGGGTGGATCTAGAACGAACAAAGCGGAAGCTGGAGGGGGATCTGAAGCTGTCCATGGATTCAGTGAGGGACCTGGAGAACCAGAGGGATGAGCTGGAGGAGAGACTGAAGAAGTAGGAAACACATCCAGAGCTTGTGGTTTTTATCTTGTATTCAACAAAAATGGTTGAATTTCTGCTTTCTCACAAATCAAGATTGTGAAACTAATCAGAAGTAATCACTGAATAATAACCAATATTAGTATTAATCTAATCTCTATTGCACTTTCTCATTCTGTTTCGATTGTTTCTTCCTTTCTCTCTCTGTCTGTCGTCACACCTCCCTAAAGAAAAGACTTTGAGTTGGGTCAGTTTCAGTCTAAAATGGAGGATGAGCAGAATTTGGTCACTCAGCTTCAGAAGAAGATCAAAGAGCTTCAGGTCAGTCAGGCAGATCCAGAACAGGACTTGTTTAGTTTCCTGATCTTCATCTCTGTCACTGCTACTGCTACAGGAGTGTGCTGTTGTGACTGCTCCCTCAGACTCGTATCGAGGAGCTGGAGGAGGCACTGGACGCTGAGCGGGCATGGCGCTCCAAAGCTGAGCGTCAAAGGAACGACATCGCCAGAGAGCTGGAGGAGCTGGGAGAGAAACTGGAGGAGGCAGGAGGAGCCTCTGCTGCTCAGATCGCTCTCAACAGGTCTTCATCACATTAAAGATACAGGGATTAATACTTATAGATTAACAATGAAATATATTACCCAACATTTATCAGCTATAGAACCAGGTATTCTTCTCAGGAGTGGGTGCAGATTTTCACCATAAAAATGATAAGCTGATAATATCTCAACAGTGTGTCTTCAGTTTGTTGAGCTGCCCTCAAATGGCAGCAGCAATCAGTTAATGCAACTTCCAGTTTTCCAGAAATGATTTCGACTGAGTCACTGACTGGTCAACTAGAATTTGTAGATTTCTTTTTTTTATCCATTTCCAAGAACCTTTTGAACAAAAGTAGAAATACTCTGTGAAAACTTCTGGGGCTGTTTAGAATCATCTTTCAGGGAAACCTAATGGCCTCAGTGTGTTTCAGTGTGCCCAACATATGCCTGGGTCTTCAGCCCGAGTCTGGCCTACATCTGGGTGGAGTCCGGCTGTTATTTTCCGGTATTGGCTGACAGCCAAAAGATTTTCTGTGTGTCCACTAGGATTGGTCCAGATGTTGAAGTAGCATCTTACAATCATGCTGTATATGGGCCAGATTCGGGCAGTGGAACTGGGCGTATACTGGGCCAGAAGAGACCAAGCATGTGGCCCAAGTATGGGCCAGATTTATTTTGCTATCTGGGTCTAACAGTGTCTACTTGTGTCTCTTTTGATGTGAACTGTTGAGTGCACTTTGAATTCCTTAAAGGAGAGGCTGTCTGAAACCCCCGTTTAAACGAATGCTTCTGTTTGCAGACCTGGTTTGTCTGGAGCATACCCTGTGACTACAAACTGTAACTAACTTCATATCAAACAGGAAGCGAGAGGCAGATTTCCTGAAGATGCGTCGGGATCTGGAGGAGGCAGGGCTTCACCACGAGGCAATGGCTGCCACTCTCAGGAAGAAGCACTCGGACACGGTGGCAGAACTCAGCGAGCAGATCGACGCTCTGCAGAGAGCCAAACAGAAACTGGAGAAAGAGAAGACAGAGTTCAGGCTGGAGGCCGACGACCTGGCCACAAATGTGGAGCAGCTGTCCAGGGCCAAGGTACAAACTACACCAGGAGCAATAGTTTTACCAGCATCAGCTTACTCGTCATGTTGAGTTCTACTGAGCCTGTTGCATAATGGGAAACATAGGATCCAGAGTTTTTGGAGTTTGACACACTCTAGGGACTAAGAGCGGAGAAATCTCAGCCTCCGAAGCATTGTTTGTGACAACTCATTTGTCCCCTGAGTTTATGAAAGTGCAGTATGAAATCTCTGGAGTACTTTAAACCACAGAAGTAACCCCTCTACCAGGGCAGACCTACATAGATTCTAAAACATCCAAAGCTGAAACACACAGTCCAGCTAAGAAAAAGCACATCATAAGTTGAACAGGCCTATGGACAGTAACTCAGACTCTGAACATAGATGATCAGGACAGGCCAAGATAATTTCAGCTTTCCTCGGGGACCTACTTATTATGGAGCTGAATGTGACTTCGTCCAGAAACTATCATATACTGTATATCATATTGTATATAAATCTGTTATGAATCTTCAGTCTCCAAGCTGAAACAACTATAATGACATTTTAGTTTCAGAATGACTTGGACCAGATTCTATCAGCAGTATGTAAATTATAATTTATTATCTGAGTGTGTGTTTGTGGGCTTAGGCATTCTCTGGTGATGGTTGAGGTTAGGGTAAAGGAATGCATTATGTGTGTGTGTGTGTGTGTGTGTGTGTGTGTGTGTGTGTGTGATGTAGGGAGCTGTGGAGAAGATGTGCAGGGTTTATGAGGACCAGCTGAACGAGAGCAGGAGCAGAGCTGAAGAGCTGCAGAGACAACTGACTGAAGTCTCTGCTCAGAAAGCACGAGCCCTGACTGAGACTGGTACAACACACACACACACACACACACACACACACACACACACACACACACACACACACACACACACACACACTGTATAATATAACTATCATGACATTAGACTATAGAATAATAATCTCAAAAGAGAATATTTGGAGTTTCACGGACAAAAATTTTTAAGAGCTTTCAGACAAATTATATGGATAGAAGATATGGACAGAGCCTGTATTTTCTCTTAATTCTTGTTTGATAAACACACTGATTTCTGACAGAGGGTCTAATGCAGGAGGCTGAACTTACCCTGACATCTTTCTTCTCTCTCTTTGTTCTTCCAGCTGAGTACAGCCGTCGTCTGGAGGAGCGGGACACTATGATTGGTCAGCTCCAGCGCTCTAAGGCGGGGGTTTGCCAGAACTCTGATGATCTGAAGAGGCAGCTGGAGGAGGAGAGCAAAGTAACATTCAAACCTTTTTACTCTGATCCATCATTTGTATATAGGACTCATGACCATTCTTACAAATTTACTTAGATCTAAATGAGCTAATTTCTGTCTCTCCTTGATGAAGGTGGGTTAAATAGAAGGATCTGTGGATAAGAGCATCACGTATGAGGTTCAAAACTGGATGTGTTGTTTGGCGTGTTTCAGGCTCGTGTAGCTCTGGCTCACGCAGTGCTGGCTTCCCGTCATGACTGCAGTCTGCTCAAGGAGCAGCTGGAAGAGGAGCAGGAGGCCAAAGCTGAACTGCAAAGGGAACTATCTAAAGCCAACAGTCAGGTGGTTCAGTGGAGGGCCAAGTATGAGACCGATGCTGTTCTGAGGATAGAGGAGCTGGAAGATGCAAAGTAAGATAATACTGCTACTACTGCTACCGCCTTCACCAGCTGCTCTGGATCACACTTCAGGAACCTTTTTGTGCTTCTAGTTCATTTCTTTTGCTTGTTGCATTTTGTTGTTTGCAGGAAGAAGTTAGTTGTCAAACTGCAGACTGTTGAAGAAGCTGTGGAGGCATCTCAGGCCAAATGTTCCTCATTGGAGAAAACCAAACAGCGTCTGCAGACAGAGATCGAAGACCTGGTGGTTGGACTGGAGCGCTCAAATGCTGCCGCTCTGGCTCTGGACAAGAAGCAACGCAACTTTGACAAGGTCTGTCAGCAACACAACCCATAACCCTCAATATAGCTGTAAACAATGAAGGAAATTAACTACAAAACTCACCACCAGTAGATGGTGGCAATAAAAGCAGCTCAGAAACAAACACATGTACTGCTTTTTCCTTGTTTAATGCAGTTGCTGAGTGACTGGAAAGTAAAGTTTGAGGAGAGTCAGACAGAGCTGGAGGCGTCGCAGAGAGAGTCTCGCAGTCTGAGTACTGAGCTCTTCAAACTGAAGAACTGCTACGAAGAAGCTCTGGACCACCTGGAAACAGTTAAACGAGAAAACAGGAACCTACAAGGTACTCTGTCTCTCTCCTTCACCTATAGCAGCCACATGGATAACTAGGTTTGTGGACTTGGTCTATGGTCAGGTCTTGAAACCAATGTAAGCTGCAAACCTACATATTCTACATTTTTTCCACCGTGTTAGCTGTAGGTTCACAAGTTTCATTAGAAAAACTCCCACTCCACACTGACACTTCATTGTGTGGAAGCGGGTATTTTCTAATGTAATAGCAAGTGTGTCCTGCTTTGTTTAGGATTTGGGTTCTTCCCCATCCTGAAATGATCCTCCTCAATATATATATATATATATATATAGCACATGAGATAGCATTATGTTATTATAGCATGTATGTAGTCAAATATTTGAGGAGTTAACCTGCAACCATTTAAGCACCAGTGTGTAAGATTTAGTGGCATCTAGTGATGAGGTTGCAGATTGCAACCAACTGAATACCCCTCCTCACCCCTCACCCCTCCCTTTCCAAGCTGTAGGAGAACACATGGTGGCCTTCAGATAATGTAAAAATGCAAAAGTGTGGCAGGCTAGCTTAAAAACTTTGCAGTTCATAGTAAACAAGTTTCTTAATAAACCAAAACCAGAGCAGCAATCAAAACAGAACTTTACACCATTTCTTTGCTGAACTGAACTATAAGAAATAGTTTCAGACTGTTTCAGAACGGACGACTGCAACACATCAGACCAAAGCAATGGTCTGTTTTCATTCTAACACAAGACTTGGTGATCCAGGCAGGCGTTTCCACAACACTTTGACTAACCTTGTATATCTGACTTCATCCCAATCTTCAAAGGTTTGGCTATAGCTTACATAACTGTTATGGACTAAAAAGTAATATTGATTGATTGAAAAATTGATTGAGCGAATGTGTTGATTCTAGAGGAGATCCTTGACCTGACTGATCAGCTCAGTCAAGGAGGGAAGACCATCCATGAGCTTGAGAGGATGAAGAAGATCCTTGATGTGGAGAAGAGCGACATCAGAGCAGCTCTGGAGGAAGCAGAGGTAACTGACTTGCCTGCTGTAGATACTGCATCTGTCAACTCTCCACCAGCTAGACAGTTAACTAAACCACTGTACCTGCCAACTCTCTTCCAACCAGGGTACTCTGGAGCACGAGGAGAGTAAGACTCTGAAATTTCAGATGGAGCTGCAGCAGATAAGGACTGAGATAGAGCGAAAGATTGCAGAGAGAGATGAAGAGATCGACAACCTCAGGTACCAAATATATAGAGTAACAGACTCAGTGTCTTAATGTCAGTAAAAGACCTGACAAGTCCAGGTACCAAATTTAAAACTGTATGAAATATCCTGTCCACCAGGCGAAGCCACCAGCGCTCCTTGGAGACCCTGCAGGCCAGTTTGGAGGCAGAGGTTCGTAGTCGCAGCGAGGCAGTTCGTCTGAGGAAGAAGATGGAGTCTGACCTGAACGAGATGGAGGTTCAGCTGGGACACGCTAACAAACAGGCAGCCGAGAGCCAGAGGGTCATCAGACACCTGCAGACACAGGTAATCTCAGATATTAAGACAATAAACTCAATGTTAGGGCAGCAAGGACAGATAAAAAATCTGACCTAAAATACTAAAATACGATCTGAACACATCACATTTGCCTTAGGGGAATTTATAATCTGCACTTTTTGCTGTTTTCTGATTGACGATTAATCAATCAATTGTGAAAATGATCAGCAGATTAATTGATGATTGAAATAATGAACAAAAATAACAACAAAGTCACGAGACACAGACAGTTGCACTGGTTTTTGCGCGTACATGTAATGTTTAGATTCTTTGTTTTCAGTGAGCTGAGGCTGGTGGGTTTCAGGGCTACATCTGACTTCAGGACATACAAAACATGATGATCAAATATCAGTAACACAATAGACTTAATTAGCATAAAAATATTGATTTTGGCCTGCAAATTACATGACTCTAACAGATATGAACTGGTTTATTGAGAAAATGTTACTATAGACAAAATTTTAACATCAGTGAAATTGTAGCATAACATGATTTGAATATAATTATAACCAGTACTATGCATGATGTCCACTTTAGTTGACACATGATTAATTGTAATTTTCTGCTTGTACATAATCATTATTTGACAAATGTAACAATAATATTGTTCCTTGTTACTTGCTAGCACCACAATTTTTATCTGCTTGAGTCTTTCTATAGAAGCACCTGATAGATATTCCAAAGGTGTTTGGCATATCTGACATATGGTTGGTAATCTTAGATGTTGGATGTTTTCAGCTGCAATTACAGTTGTTTGCAACTAGGTTGCAGCCTATGGTGTTTTCAAGGGCTGTCCACATACAGTACATACACTCACCCACCTGTCACTCAATTATACATAACTTTAAGCCTCAATAAATTTTAACAGGTCAGTTATGTATAAAACTCACCCCCTGTACAGTCATGAAGGAAGAAATTAGCTATAGAGACCAAAACTCATTGGAAGAACTGTAGTTTTTGGCTTCACTTTTCAGCCTCGAAAGGTTGATGCTTGGGCATACTTGACGTTTCGTCAGCCATCTTGGATGTTGGGGGTTTTTAGCTGCACTTACATTTGCTTGCAACAAGGTGGCAGCCTATGGTGTTTTCACCATCCAATCCCAGGCATATGCAAGACATTGGATTTTGAATAGCTGTCCAAGGTAATGACCACTATGTGTGAAAGGGTTAATTAGGTACAATTGTGAATGCAGGACATCTTCCAACACTGGGCCCCTGGTGTTTCAGGTAAGTTTAGGGATCAGAAAGAGTCAAATTCAACTACATGAAGCAGGAAAAATTATTAACATCTGGCTGTTAACAGATTAATAAGAACAATTTAATGATGTGAAGATATTTCAGGGTTTGTCTGCCCCCTACTGGTATTTTTTAAAATTCTATATCATTGCTTTTCATACTACGTGGCATGATATTTAATTCTTAAACTTTATGTGTTCCAGGTTAAGGAGCAGCAGGTGGAGCTGGAAGATAAAGTCCAGTTGACCAATCAGCTGAGAGAACAGATCGTCCTGCTGGAGCGACGCTGTTCTCTGATGACGGCTGAGGAGCAGGAGCTGCGTGGGATCCTTGAGCAGACCGACCACGCCCGCAAGATGGCTGAACACGAGCTGGTGGAGGTGGCAGAGAGAGTTAACCTGCTCACTACACAGGTATACACACACAAACACACACACACACAGGCTGATTGCAGACTGACTGATTTACTTACTGATTGATCGACTGATTACCTGACTGATGTCCTGGTGTTGCAGAACTCAGGTCTGGTGAACCAGAAGAGGAAGATGGAGGCTGATCTGTCTCTGCTGACAGGAGAGGTGGACGAGGCGATGCAGGAGAGTCGCAGTGCTGAGGAGAAAGCCAAGAAGGCCATCACTGATGTCAGTACTGAGTCCTGACCTCTGATCTTTGACCTCTTTTTTTTTTTTTTTTTACTTCTTTTTGATTGTTTTCTTGTGTTTTGGGAGGAACAGAACAGTTTTTTGTTTTCTTTTAAAAACCTTTTCTGCTGTTTCTCCCTTCTCTTCTCATCTGTTCTGCTTTTTTTTGGAAAGTTTGAAGTTGTGTTGCTGCTGTAAAGTCTATGTTTTTGGAGAACTTAAGTGAACTCTGTGCATATGTGTCTCTCCAGGCGGCTCTGATGGCGGAGGAGCTGAAGAAGGAGCAGGACAGCAGCAGCATGTTGGAGAGAATGAAGAAGAACATGGAGTCTACAGTAAAAGGTACAAAAACAACACACATAGTGGTAATGACTCCTCTGTCAAACACAGAGATCACCTGCTGGTCCTGCAGATCAATGATCTTTGTTTGTGCCTCTGACAGACCTGCAGGTCAAACTGGATGAGACGGAGCAGATCGCGCTGAAGGGAGGAAAGAAGCAGCTTCTTAAACTGGAGACAAGAGTGAGTGAAAACTTGACAACTGTTTCTGTTCACGCTGTGTTAACATGGTTTCTCACTCCTTAGAAACAACATGCTGAGTAGAGCAGTAGAGCAGACATAATGACCGAAGGCCGGCTGCCATGTATCAGGGATTTTTTGGAAACTCACGTTTTTCCATTAGTCCTTTTTAAGTTTGGAATTTCAATTTGCGCATTAAGCAGATTAATGGAAATGCAGCTAGTGAGATCCAATCGAATCTAAAGGATTTCCCTTAAATCTCCCCATGATACCCTGCGGAAACATGTCACATCACAGACGCTAAATGCGCTGTTACTGCTGTTTTACTGTCACTTTAAGAACATGGCCAAACTATACAGATGCCATCTAAACCTGCCTGAGTTCTGATCGATTAGAAGGCGTTCCGTGTATATGCACACGTTTCTCCTGATCCAGATTCAGCAGGTGTAAACAGGGTCAATAAAAAAGGTTTGTTGCTGTGTGTGCAGGTGAGGGAGCTGCAGACGGAGCTGATGGTCGAGCAGAAGAAGAGTGAGGAGTACCAGAAAGGAGTCCGCCGCTATGAGAGAAAAGTGAAAGAGCTGACGTACCAGGTCTGATAACCTCTCATCATCCAGTTGCTGCTTCTGTCCACATCATACAGATGTTCTGTTGGTTCTCGGTGTTTATCATTGGTTCTCTTTGTGATCCTGCAGTCAGAGGAGGACAGGAAGACTCTGCTGAGGATGCAGGAGCTGATTGATAAGCTTCAGACCAAAGTCAAGAGTTATAAGAGACAAGCTGAGAACGCTGTGAGTGCTTATTATTGTAATGTTCTTGCATTAAAAGTAAAACAACAGAGGTCACAAACAGAAGCCAAAGTTGATTTTGAGTTTAAAGATTTGTTGTTGTTCCTCTGTTTGTCCCCCAGGAGGAGCAGGTGAGCTGCAGCACAGTGCGTTTCAGGAAAGTCCAACACGAGCTGGATGACGCCGAGGAGAGAGCCGACATCGCAGAGACGACAGTCAACAAGCTGCGGATTAGAACCCGTGAACAGACCAGCAAAGTTGCTGTGGTGAGTCACACACTGTGCATTTTAATTCTGTAGCTCACATGAAATGTTTCTATCTAAAAGTGTTTCTAATCTGCTGATTGTTTTTTTCTGCAGATCGCTGAATGAAGCTCTCCTGCCTCTCCGTCAGTGGGTTTCTGATGTTTGATTGCTGTGTGTTTTTGGCTGATGTGTTGTATTGTTGCTGTATTGTCCAGGGTCAGGGGGGGACACTTGAATCTGCATCTACTGTGTGTAACCGTGTCATTATGTTTCTATATTTCTCCACTGTAAAGCACTGAAGTTAACTGGTTTGTAGAGGAAGTGTTGAGGGTAGCAAGTATGTACAAGAGCTGAGTGAACTGGTTTGTAGAACTGAATGGTCTCATGCAACATGTCAGTTAGTCACTACCTGCAAACTTTGTCACACAGTACTCAAAGTGAGTTTGCTGCACTGTGTAAGGTTGTAATGCTTTAGTTTGGTGATATATAAAGACTAGTAGTAAGACTAGTGAGTGGGAGAAGGCGTCAGTGTCAGATGTGTAGTGTGAGGCTGTGGCTAATTTTTGGAAGTAGTCTATACCAGTGCATACCTGGTGACAGTCTCAGCAGAAAGTATTCTCTTGTTTTTCTTTTGTTTTGTTTACCTCCCTGATTCCTCCTTTTTTAATCCTCAGTTTGAAAACTTTCCTGGTTGTTGGTGAAAATGGTGAGAAATGTGCATGTTTTGTTGAGAACAAAATAAGCTACAGACTATGGGACAGCAAGTAATGTGTGACTGCAGGATTGACTGCAGCGGCATATCAACAAAGTCACTGACAGTGGCTACGTTTACATGTATTACATAAAGTACGTTATTAAAGGTGCTAATGTAAGTATTTGTTATTGCTACATAGCTAACGTTAGCATCAACAGCTGTTTACTTACCAGTCTAGAAGAGACATGAGTTCAGCATCAAACTTCATTCCTTTACTCACCAGTAGCTGTCTCCAGAGGTGGAAAACAACGGCAATGTTAACAAAGTGGTAACTCTTGTTTTGCTTGTATTTCTTCTTTTCTTTGCTGCCGAATATGGTTTTCTGCCCTCCGGGTGGCGCTACTTCCTCATCCTCTCCTGTTGGACTGATTGCAGACTCAATGCTAAAATGACACTAAAGCCTCTTGAAGTGCACATTGGTTTAATGAGATGGGATGGCCGGGGCTAGCTGGCTAGCATGCTAACTTCAGCAGATATTTCTGCAACACAATATGTGTCATAACACCAAAACTGTTATTTCTTCACATTCTGTTGCTAATTAGTTTTTGAATGTTTTAAACTAAAATACTTACATATAGCACCTTTAAACCTGCATTAAGTGATGTTTTTGATATTAGCATTCAACCAGATTACTCTGTGTGGTGTTAGAATGTCTCTTACTATTTTTAGTCTCTTTTAGATTTTAGCTAAACATTGACTGCATCTCATAGAAAACAATAAGTAGCCAAAATATAAGTTCATAAAAAGCTCAGACAAGCCAGGCCCAGCAGTAAACAGAAGACAGACACAGTCAAAGCAGCTGGTGAACATAGTGGAGCCTTTATCAGCTAAACAGCCAGATAATAGGAGGAGCTGGTAGAAACCAAACAAAGAGCTAAAAGAGAGGGAACACTCAACTGAGATTCATCAGGTGACACAAACGGCACTCCACATGAATCATCATGTTGCTCTGTAACTGCTGGATGTAGAAGTAGGAACCTGGTTGCTGAAAAGTTGCCCACAATACTTTATAAGCAAATGATAGTTTTTCTGCCCCCTCCTCATCAAAATCACAGGGCATCACTTCAAACCATGTACCTGTATTCAGACTATATATCTGATCTGAATATTGATGTGTGGGTTTTACTGTAGTCAGACATTTTGATTGAAATCTTCAGTCTAGTAAAAAAAATAAAAAAATAAAAATCCTGTTGGTGTTCTTTAATTTTCTTGTGTATGCCTCAAAATACCTCAGCCTGTGACACACACACGCACAAACGTTTGTACTTATATTCTTGCGAGGATACTCATTGACAAAATGCATTCCTTGGACCCTTACCCTACCCTGACCATCAAAACCAAATGCCCCTCACCCTGACTTTAAACTGAACCTGGGACATGAGCCTGACTTGCTACTTACTGTGGCCCTAAAAGCATCTTGAGCACTGCTGTCAACGGCTGACATGTCTATGAATAAACAGGAAAAAACTCAGTCAAATTAGCAGGTATCTTTAACAAATATCATAATCCATGAAACATGACAACCGTCCTTCAACCGTCGCTGCGGTCGTACACACAAAAACTTTGAACAGAAAAAGGTAGATTTTGGCATTCAACACTTTATTCACAAACTAAAACCAATCACTGTATCCACAGGTCAGTGGGTGACTGTACAGGTGTGTTAGATCAGTATCACTGGCTGCACATCATGTGTCATCAAGTCTCGCCGTGAACCCTCCATCGGTCCATTCATCCCTCCATCCTCCAATCAAAGTGCTCAGCAGTTTGTCCTTCAGTGTGTTTGTACATATACAGTATGTGTATGTGTGAGGGGGTGGAGGGAGTGCAGGTGCAGGTGTGTGTGTGTGTGTGTGTGTGTGTGTGTGTGTGTGTGTGTGTGTGTGTGTGTGTGTGTGTGTGCGAGTCGGTCCAGTCTCAGGTGGTCCAGAACCGTCCGATTCTAGTGCTCGTCTTTAGAGAACACACCTAAACATTTACAAATACATTCAAACACAACCAGAAGGTTTTTCCTAGATAGTTGTTAGACAGCAAATAGCACCGCAGAGCAAATACATTTGGGGTTAAAAAAAAAAAAAAAAAACTATAGGCAGCAGACTGGTCAGCTGCATTCACACAGGAAGGAAGAAATCACCCCCCAAACACTTCTACACAGTTAGAAAAAAAAACAGATATTTGTGATGGAAGTTTTAAGGTGTGGTGTGCGTCCTCTCCCTGTGGATCAACAACAAGCTCTCATGGGATTTTACAGCAGAAAATGTTAAGTAAAACAATAATAAATGTGGTTTTGAAACTCAAAAATCAAACAGGAAAAACATCCATAACAGAAGAGGAAATAGACCCAAGACAGACTGAATGAAAAAAAAAAAACCACACACACAACAGAATTAGTTGTTTGTCAAACGCCTGAAATCACTCACTGAGCATGACTTTGACACCAGAGACCATTGGTAGTCACCAATAATCAGTGTTGGTTTCTTCAAAATGTTTGTGTGTTCAGTATTCTTAATGTCTTAATGTCTGCCATCAAATACACATCATGCTCCCAAACTACCTGAATTAGTGCCCTCAGGTCGCTGCCTCACGTTCTCTTTTGTCTTCGTTTGATCCAGAATCTCACTTCAATTTAATACTGTTGGGTTCTGATTTTGGATTGAAGTATGTGGATTTACACGGTGTTATGGTATTTTAACAAACTTTAAATATAACTTTTTTGTGTAAAAAAATAGTTTCACTGTAAAAAGTTTGATGATATTGATCATTCTGTTCATAAAAAGAAAAAAACGGATGCACTGTAAGACTCCACATCTACACAGTATTAACCAGCGAACTAATGTTTTTGTGATCGCACGGTTGGTCTTCGATATGGGTTTAATTACACTGAGTGATCACACACTTCCATATTATTAGCGCCATGTCTGTTGTCAGTTCTATTTATCATTTCAATGTGGACATGAACTCTCTCACTGGTGCAGACGTTTAGGAGCCTGATATGACATGATGAAGAATTATGGGCCACTTGTTCTGAGGCGAAAGACAATTTAGTCAAAGTTATTCATTTGAGCAGGTAATATTGTAGCAGACAGGCTTCTTTTGATAACTGAAGAACATCCAAAGCAAAACTCATCAAATGTGACATTATTTTCTGACATGCATTAAGGATACAACGTCTTAGAGAAGGTAAACTAGATAACACAATACAAAAGAAGTTGTTTTTTTTACTGCCTTTTTTCTTTGTTTTTTTTTTTTATTTTTCAGTATCACATTTATTGTGTGTGTTTGTGTAATGTCAAAATATTAAAAATAATAAAAACTGAGATGACAAAAACTTGGGAAGAATCATCATCAAACTGCAACATGTAAATGAAGTTCGACTACATGAATCAGTAAATTGAGGAGAGAATTGAGGTTAAGATTGATCAGAAATGTACTGATAAAGATGCTGACTAGGTTGCATAAGCTCCCACAGAAATATGGTACAGAGGACCTGTAGCTATTGCCTGATTGGTCTATACACTGGCCAATCAATGCAGCTACTTTTGCTCACCTGCTGATGCTGATAGTAGTTAGTGACATCTTCTTACAGACCAACGAGCCTGAGGATGTTTCCAGAACATCTGTAGGTTTGCAGGTTGTAGGCAAAAGCCAGTGCTCCTCTGAACCCAGTGATGTCTGGAAACCATATCGAAACTGGACGAACCGTCTCTGTTGAAAGGCATTTTGTGAAATGTAGGAAATCACAAAATGTTGCAGAAAAACAACACTTCGTCTCTAAATGCAGTGGGATGTTTAACAGTGTCAGAGTATCTGAGGGGCAGTTTTAACACTGACAGAGATCTGATTGTGTCTAATATTTATTTCTTTTTTTTTTATTTCTGGCTCATAATCAGTCGGAAAGTCACATCACACGTGTGTCGGATCAAATACAACAGGCAGAGATCATCAAAGGTTTAATTCTTCCACCTTGTTCTCACTTCCTGTGCAAATCCAGTTGTTTTTCTACAGTTATATTTTACATTTTTATAAGTTACATGTTCTAATTTAGAACTCTGGACATTTCTGACCAGTGGTTTGTTTTGGGCGAGGGAGGGAGGGAGGGAGGGAGGAGGGAGGAAGGGGGGAGAATGGACACCAGGGTTGGAAAAAAAAAAAAAAATTGGCTCAGAGGACGAAATAACTGGACCAAAAGGAAGAAGGTGATTGGACAGTGAGAGTGATGGTTAACACGAGTTTAAAAATAAAATGGGATGATAGAGTAAAAATGGTTTTTCCAGGGTGGCAGCTTTAACTTTAAAGAAATCTTCTCTAGTTTTTCATTCACAAAACAGCTGTGACAAGTTCTGGATGCGATGACATCATCCTGTAGTCCTCTTTCTTTTGGCTGATGACACAATACAAGACTTCGAGCTCCCACAGTCTTGTATCTTTTGTTCTTTTCCTTGTTTGTTCTCTTTGATTTTTTTTTAAATGTTCTCATCCTCGTTCTCTTCAGGGCTGCTGTGTTGCATTGTGGGTACTGTAGTCAGTCACCAAGTTAGTACAACTGTTGCTCTGTCGTCAGTAAAGCTGTTGGTCACCGTGGTAACCAACGCTCAAGTTAGTGGAAGAGAAAAAAAAGAAAAAAGAAAAGAAAAAGTAAAAATGACATCACGCTTACATCAGCAGTGATGTCACAGTGTTCGACGTGAAGTTTGTTTTCTGCTTCTGTCTCAGTCTGAATTTAATAACAACAAAAACAGGGCGGACAGGTCCTTTAATGTCTTAACAGACTGTTAGAGAGACTAAATATGAACATGTAAAACAAATATGGTCGCTGGGAGGTCACCTGCAGAGGAGGAGGAGGAGGAGAAGGAGGAGAGTTTTTGTTCTATAAATGCTGTTTTATCTTTCTCAGATTTGACTGGTGTGATGAGGAAAACTAATCTTTCCTGTCTACCTCTCCGTCTCCTCCTCCTCCTCTTCATCACCATCACCCTCATCCTCCTCCCCCTGGAGCTGCCCTCAGAGAAGGAGAAGGGAGGAGCTGAGGAGAAGAAGGAAGGAGGAGCAGCTGATGAAGAGGTGTGTTGGGTGTTTCGTCCCAGCGTCTCCCTGAGCAGCAGGGTGGGAGGGCCAAGCGATGTCACAGGAATGGCAGAAGCTGATTGGCTGACCGGTGAGATTGGGGCATGGTTGCCAAGCGATGCCGCCACGTCGACGACCACGCCCTGCTCCTTCAGGCTGCTGTGGGCAGGGTCAGGAGCCTGCTCCAACCAATCAGGAGGCTTAGCCCTTCCAGCCGTCCCAGATTGGACCTCTGGATACACACACACAAACAAACACAAACACGCACAACACAGAGACTATAGTTAACTTTTGAACATAGTAAAGTGTGTGTGCGTGTGTGTGTGTGTGTGTGTATGTGTGTATGTTAGAGTAGTTACTGTTGTTAACAGACAGACAGAGAGAACTAAGGCACATGCAGGCAGCAGAACAGACGAGCAGTGAGTGAAACAAACATGGAGACAGAAGACTCAGACATTTGGACTATAAATAAATCTACTATACATTTATTAAAGTCACTGTGTGATTTTTCTGTGATTTAAATTATTCTTTACAAATACAAATTACTAGATTTGTTTGCAGAAAAATAACAATGTATTGGTCTGTCTGCCACAGTGTCTTTTTTTTCTGATAAAATCAACAGTATTTTATTTCAAATATCATTAATTGAATTAATTTTGGATCCTATATTATCCTTATGATAAAGGGTTAAAAAAACTTTTTTTTAAAGGGTTAAAAACAACTTGTCAAACATAATTTTTCCTTTTAAATTACATAATGCAATCCAGAAGTTTGTGTTGTTATTATTGTAAATTTCATTGTTTTGTTATGTTTCTATTTCTTTCTTGTTTTTTTTATTTTCATCTTTTTTTCTTTTGATAAGACAATGACAGGAAGTTTTTATGTTGTTTCAGTCTGATTTTGCACTAAAAGATTCCATCCATGGCAAAAACTGGAGAATCAAAATAGATAGCTGGTTAGCAGCAGGAAGTATTAAAAAGAAAGACAGATGGTGAATCAACAAGTGATCGCTCCTCTGTCAAACAGAACAGAAAAAATGTATCTTCCCCTGCTTTCAGTTAAATCGTTCGATGATCGTTATCATTAAAATAAAAAAGTGCTCTGAGAATTATTTAGCCTCCGTATTGTCGGATGTGGCCTGCCAACATTTTTGAAATTTTCAAGTGGGAAATGACTCGGAACCACTGAACTATAAAATACCTCATGTATGACAAACGCTTACAGCAGAAGTCTGTTCTACTTTGGCTTCTGTTTGTTCTCAAAGAATCAAAACTAGGATTCATGAAAACAGAATCAATCAAGCATGATCCCATTAAATCTAAATCTGTCTTTGTGACATAGGTCCGGTCGCATCAGGGCCCTGATGAAAGTTAGAAAACTGTTTTAGGGGCTAGTAAGAAAAATATAACAAGTGAGAATAAGGTAACAAGTCATTTTGGCTTCAAAGGGCAATGACAAGGATAAACTGTGTTTTTAGGTTGTGTTCAGTGCTGCAGAAACAGTAAGAGACTAACTGAGCAACATTGTTTGTGTTTTTACGTTTCTTTTGACCTGAAGTAGAGGAGATACTGTCTTAATTAGGGGGTGAACTGTTCCTTAAATGAGCTTTTAGAGAATATAATTCATCGTTTTGACACTTTTGTTCCTCCACAGTTCAGGTTCTGTTTCGGCCGATGTTTAAGGAGTTTTACACTATTTATTAAAATGGAATTTAATAAATACATGGTTCCAGCTAACAGAAACAAAAATATAACTTGCTGACATATAAAATGTCTGTGAGTCAGACACATCAGATCAGACTCATTAGGATCAGGTACAGTGTTGAGGCAACGAGCAGCAGCATGCAGGCTGGACCATCTACAAATAGCAGGACAAGAGGAAGACTCACAGGGTTCGAGATGATGAAGGTTTCTTGACTCTTGGCCACTTCCTCCTCTCAAACACCCTGATGCAACAAACACACACACCGTGTTACACACGCACGCACACACTCTCTCTCTCTCTCTTTGCTCCACCAACAGCAGCCCTCAGCTCCATCAGGAAGTCATGCAGCGTTCAGAGCAGGAAAACATAATGTGTGTGAACATATGTGTTTGTACCTGTAGTCATCAAAGCTGCCGTGTTCCCGCCCTCCTGCTGAAGAGAGAGTCTGATTGGTTAACAAGCAGTGGCCACTTGTAATTTTTTTGTGTATCCAGTGTTCA